TTATTTATTTATTTTTTTTTTTATTTTAATTATTTTTTTTTTTTTTTTTTTTTGCATTTGCGTCCATTTTTACTCACGGTCCGGAGCCCTGTGTAAATAGTGGCTAGTGCATATGTATTGTGGTGTTCCGTCAGTGCTTGTAAAGGTGTGTTTGGATGTGTGTAAGGGCCATCATTAGCTCAGCATGAGTCTGATTCCTTCATAATTGGAAGCATTGGGGATTGTCAATAGAGAATTTTCATGCACCGCTGACAGGTAGAGCTGTCAGGCTGGTAGTCTGCTTGTCAACACAAAAGACCAATAAACACAAAGCACTTTTGATTTACTTGGTGCTTTTGCAGAGGGACAGAGGGACCAAAACTAAAGGGGTTAGTGTACATTTGAACAATCATAAGTGGCAGATATTGTTACTTTCAGCATATATTTTTCAGCCAGGCATCCTCATACTTCACACTGTCACACACACGCAGTACACTGATCCTGTCTATCCTTCCAGTGGGAGTCAACTAAACCACTGAATGAAACAACAATGCATATAGTTTTGAATAGTTGCCACAACTAATATATAATTATGTATTATTTAAAAACACTAGACTAATTAAGTGTGTGGAAGAAAAATTAGCATGGCGACTACAGAGTGAAAGTGAAATTGTGGGCACTAGGGGAGTTTTCACCTGCTGGAAACGAGGCATTTTCCACATGGATGGGGCCTCAGGCAAGGGGCGACTCTTGCGGAGCAGGGTTGTTCGTGTATCCTGTATACGTCCAAGCTGAGCCTGTGAAGGATTCAATAGACACTTACAGTTTAATCAGCCTTCTCATAGAAGCGAAGGTTAACATTAAAGTCATTTTGTGAGATCTTCAACAGACCTTCTTATGCTGATGGGCCTGTAGGATCTTGTCCTTGGCCTGCTGCTCTTCCAGCCATCTCTGAGCATACTTATACTCAATGAGCTCTGAGATTGGGGTGGATGGTCTAAAGTGGAACAAAACACTTTTCTCAGGTTGCCCACATCTGAATATGCAGATTTCTGTGATTTACACTTGGTTTGGTAGATAAACGCATAATCAAATTAGACAATATATTTAAAAGAATTGTTCACAAAATGAAAATTCTGCCATCATTTACTCACTCTCGTGTTGTTCCAAATCTGTGTGACTTTCTTTCTTCTTTGGAACATAAAAGAAGACATTTTGAGAAATGTTTCCGTTTTTTTAGTCCATACAAAAGAAGTCAACCAAACTGTCTGGTTACCAACATTATTTCAAATATATTCTTTATGATTCACTAAAGAAAGTAAATCACGCCGGTTTGGAATGACATGAGGGTGAGTAAAATGATCACAAAATTTCCATTGTTAGGTGAACTATCTCTTTATTTAATAGAATATTTTCAAATGTACACTTCTGCAAGTGAATAGGCTATGTTCAGTCAAGGTTTGGCATTGACTGTCTCATTTAATAACAGGCGTGACCCTAAAACAGTCCCGTTCTCACAACAGATTACATGCAGATTATATTTGAGTCGCTACTGTATGAACGAATAATCGATGTGACGCTCCTTTTTGTTGTCGCATTAGCCGTGTATCATCTGTAACCATAATGATGTATGTACCCTATGCCTTTATGCATATTCAATCTGGGCTTTGTGATCAATGGCTCAACATCCCAATGAGTTTAAAAGGCAGCTAAGGGAGCCTCCCAACCCAATCACCCTATCATTGGGTGAGGTTCTGGGTAGTGCAGTGGAATGCCGAGTGCTATTCCCTTTCACTGGCATTCGATCTTGGACTGCCAGGTGTAAAGTTGTGAAAACAGCATTCTTATATCTCAAATAGATATCTCCAGATATATCTCTTGTGTGTATGTGTGTGCTGTATTTAATGTGTGTGTATGGGGATGGTGACATTTTGTGCAAGGATCCTCATTAGGGCTGACCGTGGCATTGGCAAACAGCATTTGATGGATAGAGTGCAGGACCAAACAAGTCCCTGTGGACCCCTGATCTTACCTCTCATTGCTCCAGACCGCCTTCCTCCTGACTGGCTCTTGAAACGCACTCTCACCTAGCACTTCTTACACTAGATGTATCAACATCAAGTGTGTGTGTGTATGTGTATGTGTGTGAGAGCAAAAGAGAGAAAGTCTGGACACAAAGCTGTGTTTTCAGTTAAATAATTCAGCTCCATTTCAACAGTATCAAGACCCAAGAGGACGAGAACAAAAAAGAAAGCAGGCGGAAGGCAGAAGGAAGGAGTGAAGGGAGCTTGTGGCACTGCGGACCGCTGTAATAATCCTACCTGTGCTCTCAGCAGAGTGCTCGTGTCATATCTCACTGGGCACAGAGCTCAAAGATGAGTGCTCTCTCCTTTCCTTCTCCCTCTTTCTCTCTGTTTCTTATAGATATACATTTCTGTACCACTTTCTACATACATTTCTCTATCGCTTTCCTGCTCCTGTCTTTTGCCTCATCCAGTAAAACAAAACACCCAAATCACTTTCTAAATTGTTCAACATCCACACACCTCTGATTCCCACACAAACATGGCCTATGGATATCAAAAATGGAGTACAGATCTGTAAATAGGTTTTCATGGACCTATTTACGGATCTGCTCCCTCAATATATCCGGGTGAGTTAAAAAAAATTTTTTTCCAGTATACAGAACCTGGAAATGTGAATTCTTTGAAACTACATAAAAACCCATATTAGACCAACAGAATTCCCCCAAATGTTGTCCGAACTAGTCAAACACAGTTGTCTGAACAAAGAATTTTAAATTCAACTATGCTGGGTTTGTGAGTTCCCAGCATGTATTGCAGCATTCATCAATTATGTGGTTACTGTTATAAGATTATTGTTTTGCTGTTTGCTGAATGTCGTTTTGTTGTCTTTTTACACGCCTTTAGAAACAGCATAATTCACTTCACATATTAAGTGTCCTTTAAAAACTAAATATAATTTATGGCTACAAAATGATAGATTGATAATTTTTTGTATTACTAACTGAACATTTGCTGAACAAGAAATCTGTGGTTGCCTCGATTAATTAATTGGCTAAATGATGCATTTTGCATTTAGTAAATGAACAAATGCAAAATGACAGTAGTATTGTTACTTGAGAAAATATTTTAGAGAACCAAAAAATCTGAATGCATCCACTTGCATAACAATTCCTCTTTTACAGTTCAGGAACAATGTGAAAAGTGAGGGGGACACATTATAAGCCTTATCAGACTAGATCATGAATATTAATTACAGAAATAATATTCACCCAAAAGTCCTAAATGATTTGCTGAAAGGCTGGTAAGTAGGTGCTGGCCATATTAGGATTTATTCAATCTAATACCGATACAACCAATGGACAGATGCTTCTTCAGACGCTTATTTACATGTCTAGCTAGTGGCTACAATTTGCAGCCAAGCAAAACGAAATTCTTCAAAATATTATGATTATTCTTAAAATAATTCCTATCTATAATATGTGTCTAAAATATAATGGTTTATAATGCCTGCAATACTAATGAAAATCTTTACAAACAACTATTTTTGAAATTTTCTTATAGACAACGCTTTTTGGCAGACTATAAAACTCTTCTTGTGCGGTGCCAAGTGTTTTTGAATGTTTTTATTCACTGCCTATATGTGATGCGAGGGTGTGTATATGTGGGTGGGAGATGTAAACAGACAGTGGGAAAGAGACAAAGCCGAGGCAGAAGAATGTGTCATTTAAATGCATATCAGTATGTAGAAATTAATAACCGTTTCTTCCTCTTTATAAAAATGTATTATTGAGTTTTTAAATAATGTAGTAACAGCCTTATTAATAGGAATATTAGTATTCATATGTTCTTTTGAAAATGTACATTATTTGATTGAGATTAGACTGAGATCATAATGGTGAACACACCTACACTCACCTGTTAGTAACACCAAACGAAGCATCTGCTGGTATGCGATCTGGGGCAGACCTGTGAAACCCCTCTCTGGTCAACGGCTGGCGCCGAATGTCATGGGTGGCACGGTACTGTTGCAGCTCTTTAGCAGTAACCAAGCCTGACTTGACCCCTTCTCGGTTAAGGGCGATAAAATCCCTCTCAGCCTCCCTGTTTCTGGTAGACATAGTGTGAGTGTGCCAGCTGGAGACAGCTATAAAATGAAAGAGAGAGAGAAATCACAGCAGAAAAAAATACTATGAAATCAAGAAACATTTTGATGAGAAGGATTGCACTACAAGTTCTTCTATTTGTCTTGTTTTTCCTTAAAAATATCAAAACAAAATAACTTAATAATAAAACTTAATAATACTTGAGAATACTTGAGAAGCAAAACTGCAGACGATACAAATATTCAATTCAATTTAATTCATGTTTATTTGTATAGCGCCTTTTACAATACAAATCGTTGCAAAGCAGCTGTACAATATATGTTTCTACAATATATTTAGTAGTAGCTTATCAGTGGTGACTATGTCAGTAAATGTACATATGGCAGAAATGTACAGAAAAATCCATTAAAGATGTAATCAAACAGACTATGAACACTATTAACAGCAATTATTATATGCTGCAATCAAACTTATAGCAAATACTATTTAAAAGATGTTTTTCTTGCAATGTGGCAGCTTTGGACACTGAGGATGTAAAACACACTGGTTTCATAGGTCTAAAGTCATATTTTATTGTACCAAAACACTTCTGGAAAACTTAGACAAATAACACTCTATAGACAAATATCACTATATAATAGTGTAAAAAGTTGGATCAACTTAAAATGACTTCTTAAAAATACTTCAAACCTTGTTCTGAACACTTAAGTTAGAAATATTAGCAGTATTCAAACTATTAGATACAGCCATAGACAGATCAGCAGTTTGAGGAAGAGAAAACGCAAAACTGTTCAATGGCTTTGGTGACTGGCAGCTCTCCTTCATGACACCAGGTTTTGGGTGTTTTCTGCAATAATAGTTACATAAGGATTTGTGATCAGTGAGCTTAGATAAGCATGACAGGGTAACCTCAGCCTAGAACTGCATCATAGTTTATGGGACTGTAGAAGAGCTTGACACTTGCAGTCACTGCCTGTCGTCCGGCATTCATCAATTATGTGGTTACTGTTATAAGATTATTGTTTTGCTGTTTGCTGAATGTCGTTTTGTTGTCTTTTTACACGCCTTTAGAAACAGCATAATTCACTTCACATATTAAGTGTCCTTTAAAAACTAAATATAATTTATGGCTACAAAATGATAGATTGATAATTTTTTGTATTACTAACTGAACATTTGCTGAACAAGAAATCTGTGGTTGCCTCGATTAATTAATTGGCTAAATGATGCATTTTGCATTTAGTAAATGAACAAATGCAAAATGACAGTAGTATTGTTACTTGAGAAAATATTTTAGAGAACCAAAAAATCTGAATGCATCCACTTGCATAACAATTCCTCTTTTACAGTTCAGGAACAATGTGAAAAGTGAGGGGGACACATTATAAGCCTTATCAGACTAGATCATGAATATTAATTACAGAAATAATATTCACCCAAAAGTCCTAAATGATTTGCTGAAAGGCTGGTAAGTAGGTGCTGGCCATATTAGGATTTATTCAATCTAATACCGATACAACCAATGGACAGATGCTTCTTCAGACGCTTATTTACATGTCTAGCTAGTGGCTACAATTTGCAGCCAAGCAAAACGAAATTCTTCAAAATATTATGATTATTCTTAAAATAATTCCTATCTATAATATGTGTCTAAAATATAATGGTTTATAATGCCTGCAATACTAATGAAAATCTTTACAAACAACTATTTTTGAAATTTTCTTATAGACAACGCTTTTTGGCAGACTATAAAACTCTTCTTGTGCGGTGCCAAGTGTTTTTGAATGTTTTTATTCACTGCCTATATGTGATGCGAGGGTGTGTATATGTGGGTGGGAGATGTAAACAGACAGTGGGAAAGAGACAAAGCCGAGGCAGAAGAATGTGTCATTTAAATGCATATCAGTATGTAGAAATTAATAACCGTTTCTTCCTCTTTATAAAAATGTATTATTGAGTTTTTAAATAATGTAGTAACAGCCTTATTAATAGGAATATTAGTATTCATATGTTCTTTTGAAAATGTACATTATTTGATTGAGATTAGACTGAGATCATAATGGTGAACACACCTACACTCACCTGTTAGTAACACCAAACGAAGCATCTGCTGGTATGCGATCTGGGGCAGACCTGTGAAACCCCTCTCTGGTCAACGGCTGGCGCCGAATGTCATGGGTGGCACGGTACTGTTGCAGCTCTTTAGCAGTAACCAAGCCTGACTTGACCCCTTCTCGGTTAAGGGCGATAAAATCCCTCTCAGCCTCCCTGTTTCTGGTAGACATAGTGTGAGTGTGCCAGCTGGAGACAGCTATAAAATGAAAGAGAGAGAGAAATCACAGCAGAAAAAAATACTATGAAATCAAGAAACATTTTGATGAGAAGGATTGCACTACAAGTTCTTCTATTTGTCTTGTTTTTCCTTAAAAATATCAAAACAAAATAACTTAATAATAAAACTTAATAATACTTGAGAATACTTGAGAAGCAAAACTGCAGACGATACAAATATTCAATTCAATTTAATTCATGTTTATTTGTATAGCGCCTTTTACAATACAAATCGTTGCAAAGCAGCTGTACAATATATGTTTCTACAATATATTTAGTAGTAGCTTATCAGTGGTGACTATGTCAGTAAATGTACATATGGCAGAAATGTACAGAAAAATCCATTAAAGATGTAATCAAACAGACTATGAACACTATTAACAGCAATTATTATATGCTGCAATCAAACTTATAGCAAATACTATTTAAAAGATGTTTTTCTTGCAATGTGGCAGCTTTGGACACTGAGGATGTAAAACACACTGGTTTCATAGGTCTAAAGTCATATTTTATTGTACCAAAACACTTCTGGAAAACTTAGACAAATAACACTCTATAGACAAATATCACTATATAATAGTGTAAAAAGTTGGATCAACTTAAAATGACTTCTTAAAAATACTTCAAACCTTGTTCTGAACACTTAAGTTAGAAATATTAGCAGTATTCAAACTATTAGATACAGCCATAGACAGATCAGCAGTTTGAGGAAGAGAAAACGCAAAACTGTTCAATGGCTTTGGTGACTGGCAGCTCTCCTTCATGACACCAGGTTTTGGGTGTTTTCTGCAATAATAGTTACATAAGGATTTGTGATCAGTGAGCTTAGATAAGCATGACAGGGTAACCTCAGCCTAGAACTGCATCATAGTTTATGGGACTGTAGAAGAGCTTGACACTTGCAGTCACTGCCTGTCGTCCGTTGGAAGTGCATAATTAAAGTGTGAGATGGGGAGCCAGTGCAGAAGCCAGGCACAGTTTAGTATGCTAACAGGAGCGCACTGACAGCACAGGCTAAGCGCCTGAGGGGACACTTACTGAAGAAAACGCACTGTGGCATCATCCTGTGACAAGAGTTGATGGGGAGCGGGTGTGGTGTCTCATAAACAAAGGCTTTGAGTGAGTGTAGATAGAGCTTTATAATGATTGAATCATAATGATGAGGTTTTGAATGTTAAGCCAACAGTGGTAAAGTTTTAAAGGCAAATATAGTGTCAATTTTACAAAATTGTTTTGCCACCTGCAGAACCTGATTTTACCAAGTGCAACATGTTCCTGGATCAACATCTTTGTTGAACCTGGAACAACATTGTGATTAACCAATCAGATTTGAAGAACCACTTTATAGTTTTTGTGAAGTTTAGGCTTACAATCAGTGTTTGGTGCTTGTACATCAGTGTCATTCATCTATCATTTCCTCTGATTTTAGGGATTACTCATGGTTA